CAACTGTAAGGTGAATAAGAACTGAGGCTATAATGTATAGCATGGTGACTATAGTTAATAATACTGTACTGTAGTCTTGAAAGTTGCTGAAAGAGTAGATCTCAGATGTTCTCACCACAAAAAAAAGAAAAAAAAAAAAGGAAACCAGTGAGGTCAAAGATGTGTTAACTAACCTTATTGTGGTAACCATTTCACAATATATGTATATTAAATCATCATGTAGTACATCTTGAACTTAGACAACTTTATATGTCAATTATATACCAATAAAGATGGAAAAAAATAGTCATGTTACCTAGCTGTTTCCCAGCTGACTCTAATAGAAATATATTTGAGCTAAATCTTTCTTAAAGTTCCTTAAATTTAATATTATGGGGGAAATGTTCATGCTTTATAATGTTCAACTGGCATTTTATTCTTTTTATTACTTTTTAGAGGTTTATTTATTTATTTGACAGAGAAAGAGAGCGCGCACACAAGAGGGGAAGTGGCAGGCAGAAGGAGAGGGAAAAGCAGGCTCTTAGCCAAGTAGGGAGCCTAATGTGGGGCTCAATCCCAAGACCCTGGGATAATGATCTGAGCTGAAGGCAGACACTTAACCAACTGAGCCACCCAGGTGCCCCTTACCTGGCATTTTAATAAGCTTATTTGCAAGAGGTAAATGCATTTTAATAGTTAATATAGAATTGTGCCTACAGATATTAGAGATTAGCAAAGATGGGTAGGGAAGGTCTGGAATATTTTCAGAAAGCGGGTTAAAAACATTTCCCTTTTGAAACAGAATGTTCTCAGGCATTTTCCTGGCACTTTGCTGCTAAAATATAAATGGTTATGTGTAATAGTTAACTGCAGACTGTTATTGTTGGGAATTATTTTTATATGTACAAATTGTGATGCAGAGTGGATTACAAACATAAATTTGTGTTTTGGTTTTATTCTGATTTAGAAGGAAGACTTAAATTGTCTTTTATATCATCTCACCACGGTGATAAAACAGGAAGTGAAGTCAAGCAAAAAACTGCTTCCTGTCTTTTTGCAGAAAGGAAACAAATATGTAAAGATACATAGGCAGCCTTCTGTCTCTCTCTCTCTAGTCAGCCCATTTTATGCACAGTCCTGATTTAGCATTAGTGAAATATTTTGATGTCATTCTCCTGTTCTTAACTCTGGCTTTATATTAGAATCACTTGGAAATCTTTTTAAATAAACCCTATTTCTAGGCCCCTCCCTCCAGTTTTCTGATTTATTTGGTGTGGGTGTGGTTCAGGCATTTTTTTTGAAAGGCATCCTAAGGAAAATTCTAAGGAGCAGACAGGAAGCCACTAGGCAAGAAGACAGACTCTGAACATTTGCATTTGCCTTCAAGGCAAATTTCCAACTCCTCCCCCACCCCCCACCCCACTTAGCTTGCCAGGCACGGGCCCTGTGTACGTTGCTTGTGCTTTCTTCCCCTCTTCTATTCCTTTTTCAGGCATTCCAAAAGTTTCCTCCTCACACATTTTTTTTTCTGATTCAAATTCCTACCCGTTTTTTGAGATCCAACACGGTTTTTACCTCTTCTATGAAGCCTTCCCCGATCAATGAGAGGTCTTGCTTCTCTTCTGAACTCATAATAGCAGTGATTGCCTTGAAAATCATCTCAGCAATGCATCAGTCATGCACTGCTTTGTGTCATCTCTTCTGTTGTGTTAAATAGATTAATCCCACTTTTTTTCTGTGTTACTCAGCTACTTACACTGTAAGCTTCTAGCATTACTTTGTATCTTTGACAAGCTGAAGGCCTTGCACAGTGTAGGAAGTCAGAGATACCTCTGCCTCCCTTCCATCCTCACTTCCACAGGTGTGGTTCAGGTCTTGATTCCTCCTGGAGCCTTGCCTGGTCCTACTATGCCTTTTTGATCCCAGACTCATTGGCTCTTTAAATCAGGCCAACGCCTCAGTGGCTCACATGGCCAATGGCCAGTAAAACTAATTGTGCGCTTTTACTCTGCTCATTCTTGCTCTCTTCCTGTTTTATATACTCTTCAGCTTCCTTTTCCCCCTCTGTTCCCTCAATCTTCTACTCCCTATTCTGCCAGGACTTGATGGAAAAATTCAGTTTCTCAGGTTTTGACCTCTTGTATTCTTTAAGATGTCAGAGTATAACATATTTTCTGGATCTTCCTGTCCCTATTCCTTTGGGCAAACACTTTCCCTGGTCGGGCTCTGGCCCAATTGACCTGAATTATTTTTCCAGCACCTTGCTCTGATCTGTCAAGATTCCCCTTCAAGAGAACAGACATTCTATACCTTGTCTTCAGGATTCTCACCCTTTGGGAGAAACCTGATTGAGTTGTCCACATGATTGAAAGTTCCTGTTGGTCCCTCATTGCCTGCAGAATAAGTGTAAACCTGAGATGTCCAATACGGGAGTGATTAAAACCCAGATAAACAAGTCAGTTCCTTTTTTTAAATATATATATATATATATATATATTTTATTTATTTATGATAGTCACACAGAGGGAGAGAGACGCAGAGACATAGGCAGAGGGAGAAGCAGGCTCCATGCACCGGGAGCCTGACGTGGGATTCGATCCCCGGTCTCCAGGATCGCGCCCTGGGCCAAAGGCAGGCGCCAAACCGCTGCGCCACCCAGGGATCCCGTCAGTTCCTTTTTTTAAAAAAATATTTTATTTATTTATTCATGAGAGACACAGAGAGAGAAAGGCAGAGACACAGGCAGAGGGAGAAGCAGTCTCCATGCAGGGAGCCTGACATGGGACTTGATCCCGGGTCTCCAGGATCTGGCCCTGGGCTGAAGGCGGCATTAAACGACTGCATCACCCGGGCCGCCCAACAAGTCAGTTCCTGATGTCAGAACAATCTGGCTGTGACATCTGTCATCCTAATGATTGCCAGGATTGATTTGGTTGATCTGTCTGGCTGGGGGGGTGTCTCCTCCCTCACCATTCCATGTGTTCCCCTCCCAAAGCTGAACATAGGTCGAAGAGGACAACTTGCCGTGATAGAGGAAGAACATTCTTCCAATAGCTGTGCTCTCCTGCTAGAACCTACAAACAAGCTCTCAAGGTCCATTTGTAGGAGAAGGTAGGGTAGTTAAGCTTCTAAGACTCCAGACACGTTCAAATGAGGCACTGTAGGTGGCAGTCTGCCTTTCTTAAAAAAGAGTTCCTTAGCTATGTCATATTATGTAACTAGTGGCTATTATATTGGACAATACAAATACGGGATGTTTCTATCATTGCAGAAAGCTCTGTTGAACAGTGCTCTTCTAAATACCTTAGTGTAGCTCATGTGGCCTTTTACAATTTCATCTCAACCTTTTGCTCTACTTTAATTTTTGGCTGCTACTCACCTTCAGCCCCACCTACTTTCTCAATGTTCCCCGATCACTCAGTGTTTTTTACAACTCCATACCTTTGAATATGCTGTTTCTTTTTACTGAAATGCCCTTTGACTTTCTTCTCTGGCAAACTCCTATTTACCTTTTAATATCCAACTCAAACATTACCTTCCTTGTGAAAATCTTTGCCTTCCTAAACACAATAATTTCTTCCTCTGTGTTTCCCTTGCTCACTGAACCTAGCGCTATTGCCCTATCACTGTATTTTGTTATTCACCCATCAATTTGGCTATCCTCTCGGAAAGGAGATGCTGACTGCCCTAATGGTTACCTGAAATTTTTTGCTTGGTGCCTGTTTGATATCAAGTATTTTCTTATTTATGTGCTTGTTATTCATGTGTTTGGGATGTTTAAAAAAATTATTTGAGGATCCCTGGGTGGCGCAGCGGTTTGGCGCCTGCCTTTGGCCCAGGGCGCGATCCTGGAGACCCGGGATCGAATCCCACATCGGGCTCCGGGTGCATGGAGCCTGCTTCTCCCTCTGCCTGTGTCTCTGCCTATCTCTCTCTCTGTGACTATCATAAAAAAAAAAAAAAAATTATTTGGTACTTTAGAAGTCCTTCCCCTTTCTGGTGTAAACCTAGGACGACTACTTCCTGCCTTCCAGATTAATGTCCATTTCTCTTCTAATTAATCCTGACTGCACTTGAAAGGGATGTGGTAGGAGGAATTGACAAAAGTCAAAAACAGAGGGACTATGTATGTAGGAGCTGGTTCAGATATGCTCACCTTCTTGTAGCCACAAAAAATATTTAGTATGTGTTTGGAAGAAGAAGAGTAGTGCGAGGGATTCCTGGGTGGCGCAGTGGTTTAGCGCCTGCCTTTGGCCCAGGGCGCGATCCTGGAGACCCGGGATCGAATCCCACGTCGGGCTCCGGGTGCATGGAGCCTGCTTCTCCCTCTGCCTGTGTCTCTGCCCCTCTCTCTGTGACTATCGTAAATAAATAAAAATAATTAAAAAAAGAGGTAGGGAGAAAATACGGAGAAAATAAAAACAGCCCATGGGAACAAAGCTGGGGGACTGTGTTTGCCTTTTTCTGGACCAAGGCCTAAAGCAATGTATAATAAGGCGGGAAGAGTTTTTAATGACCATTTTGGAAAAATGTACATTTTTCCCCCCTCCTGGTATTTGATAAGATTTTAATGAATTCTTGTGACTCGAATTACTGGAGAAGTAAATCCTCCTGCCCAAGAAATTAAAATATCAGTTAGTTTATCTTCCGTGATTGTGGTTATGGCTTATACCCTTCTGAGGGAGCTATAAATCCTACGGGCCCCGGGTCTGAGAGACGCCGGCTGAGGACTCTCACTGGCCCTGATGCAAATCCTACGGTCGATCACTTTTCCTTTGGCGCCCGACCACGCCCCGTGGTCAGGCCACGCCCACCGAAGCCGCCCTCCCGCCCACCTCATGGCTCCGCCCCAGGCGTAGCAGAGGAAGATTCCTATTGGTGAAGAAGTTGCTCTGGTCCCGCCCCGGAGCACGGCGATAGGTCGAACTGGAGTGGGGCGGTGGTGGTTGGCTGCCCGGGGACGGGTCCCTAGCGGTGCCTGTCAGAGCGGCAGGCGGCAGTGGCGGCTCTCGGGGCTGGGTTGTCAGTCAGTGAGCGGAGGGGGAAGATGGCTCGCCGGGACGCGTTCTGTTAGCAGGAAGGGGGGCAGGTGCTGCTGCTACTCGGGAGGAAGCAGAGCAGCCGCGGTCGCTGTCGCCGCGAGTCACACTAGTCGAGGTTCTGAGGTGGAGCTCGGGGAGCCGCTCTGGTGAGTCGGACCGCGCTGTACCCACGCGGGGGCCCCGGGGCGGCCGGCGACCGATAACTTTTTTTGTCAGGGAGGAGCCGGGGCGAGGCGGCGGCGGCGGCGGCGGCGGCGGCGGCGGCGGCGGCGGGGAGGGGAGGGGACCGAGACCTGGTCCCCGGGGCGGCGCCTTCGTTGGGGGTAACGGTTCCCTCACGAGGCGCCGCGGGTGGGTGCGAGAAGGCGCCGGGCGCTGGGGAGCGTCTGAGGGGCCGGAGCAGCCGGGCGGGGTGAGTGGGCTGCGGCCGGCGGCTGCTCGCCCCGAAGTTGGGCGCAGCCCGTGTGCCGCCGGGGCGGCGGCAGCTTTGTGCTCGTGGACCCGGGTCTTTTCCCTTTCCCCAGCGAGGAGCAGCCCAGACTCCGGGCGCGCCCGGGGTGCAGCCGCCGCGGCCGGACCCGCCGCCGCTCTGAGGGGGCCCCTCGCCCCTCCCCCCCCGCCCCATCCCGCCGCAGCTGATGCTCTGGCCTGGCCTCTCCCACTTCGGGGGGGCTCGCCGCTTTCCGTCTGGTGGCCAAAATGGTCACCGTCGCCCACCGCCCACCCCCGCTCTTGGAAAGCGGCGCTAGCCCGGTGTCCCCCGCAGGGCGCCGAGGTCGAGAAAGCGGCCAGCATGCCTTCCTCGGCCATTGCCCTGGAGAGCCCCCCCTTCTTGAGCACTTGCTCCCCTCCGCCCGCCTCTAGGAGTTATGCCACTTCCGAGGCTGATGTTGAGCCTCCTCGAGAAGCCGTCGGGGTTTTGTCTGAAAATGGTTGCGATCGAAAGACCCCCCCCCCCCAAGTTTGCACGCTTCAGCAGAACCGCGTATCCGCCCTTCCGCGTGCGCGATTGTGCGGTGCAGCCCTAAGTTGAGGCATCCCTGAAAGGTCTGGGTTTTGCCCTTCGTGGTCTCGTAGAGCCCAGGAGAGGGGCTCCGGGACACAACGCTGTTCCACGCCCGGCTGGCAGAGTCTCCGCTCTTCAGGTCGGGGCAGTTTGTTCCACCCGCAGCCCCGAATTTCCGAGACTGTGCGACAGGAGGCAGGACCAAGCCGTCCTTTTGCAAATTCTAGGTCCTTTGGGTCGCACAGTAGTTTTTTGGAGCCGATATGCCGCCTCTTGGGTTCGTGTGGCATTTGACAGTTTTAAGATTTTTCCGCTTTTAAAATCTTATCTCCATAAAGTCCTAAGGATCGGTGTAACCTTGAGCCAATGTGATAGACCCAGTAGTATTGTTTCCATAAGGACGTTCTCCTAACACCCCAGATTAGACCTCCCTCCAATTTCTAAACATCCTGTCTTAGCGTTAATACGCTTTAAGGTTTCCAAGATGAATATTGGTGCCAAACACCATTTTTTCTTTCTTTCTTTCTTTCTTTCTTTCTTTCTTTCTTTCTTTCTTTCTTTCTTTCTTTCTAGTGCAGGGAAAGGCAAGAAAGAAAAAGAATTTTAGGATCTGCTTGGCCAGTAGTACCTTGCTTTTTTATTTATTTATTTATTTATTTATTTATTTATTTATTTATTTATTTATTCATGCATGCATGCTCTACTTATTTTTTTAAAGATTTATTTATTTATTTATTCATGAGGGACACACACACACACACACACACACACACACACAGAGAGAGGGAGAGAGAGAGAGAGGCAGAGTCACAGGCAGAGGGAGAAGCAGGCTCCATGCAGGGAGCCCGACGTGGGACTCGATCCCGGGGCTCCAGGATCACGCTCCAGGCCGAAGGTGGCGCTAAACCGCTGAGCCACCCAGGCTGCCCCAGTAGTAGCTTGCTTGCTTTCTTTCTTTCTTTCTTTCTTTCTTTCTTTCTTTCTTTCTTTCTTTCTTTTTTCTTTCGATTACTTATTTTATTCATGAGAGACACAGTATGAGAGAGGCAGAGACATAGGCAGAGGGAGAAACAGGCTCCATGCAGGTAGCCCGATTCGGGACTCGATCCTGGTACTCCAGGATCACACCCTGGGCCAAAGGCAGGCACTCAACCCCTGAGCCACCAGGCATCCCCCAGTAGTAGCTTTAAAGTCAGTTATTCGAATAACTCATTTAAAGAAAGTGGCTCAGGGGAAAACCATCACATATTTAGATTTTAAAATTCTGAATTTGGCTTATTTTATTCTTTTTTTAAAAATTTACTACAATTATTATACCATAGAGGGATTATAAAACCTCTTAGTTATCAACACGAACAGTACTTAGATATAGACATCCAGATAAGGTGTTGGTTAGGTCAGTATGTTATTCCTGCCATGCATTCTTTTTTGTGTTTTTATTTTATGAAATCTGATTCCTGGTTGCATTTCTTAGACTGGTGTTGTTTTGACAGAGTTTAAACATATCTTATAGTCAGCTGTTTTATTCAGGATCCTGTTGCATGCTATTTATTTTATAAACATTCATAATGTTTTAAGTGAACATTTAAAAACTTTGAAAAATGCTAATATCAGGACCATTTGGGGGGTATCAAGTTTACACTTTGTAAATAATTGAAATTATATCAAATAAATTTTATTTTGCACTGCCCTATTCAGCCTGGCTGAATAGGTTCTAGGGCAGAAATGAATGTCATAACTCTTGTCATCAAGGAACTTACTCTCTGATGTACAAGACAGATAAGTAAAAATTATAATATCATCTGATACATGTGAATAGAGATATGCTTAGTGTAGTATGGGAGCAGAGTAGGAGATGGTAACTCAGTTTGGATGTAGGTAGAGTGAGGAGCACACAGTACGGTTTTGAAATATATAATTTAGCCCAGTGCAGGAGGTCAGTAACTTTCCAAGAGGAAAATATAATAAGTGAGAAGGCAAGGAGGCATGAGAAACTATGGCAGTTTAGAGAAGTCATTGTCAGTTTCAAGTCCAAAGTCAATAGCATTGACATTAATGTGACTTAAATGCAGGGGCTGGTAAGGAAAGGTGGAAGATGAGAATAATGGTAGTGCTTCAGAACAGGGCATGGTGCCTTGGCTATGGGTATTGCATTGAAGGTGATGAGTAAGAAGCCATTTAATGAATTTTTGTTTTAGACCCTCACCCTGGCAGAGTGAGGTAGAACCTGATCGGTCTTGTCACCTTTGGAAAGAAAGAAGGAGGAATTGGGACCCTGAGGATTTGAATTGGTTCTGAAATTGGAAGTAAGATGATAAATTCTATTTTGGGTTTTTTGAAATTGAGGAAGCTGTGGAGCATTCAGGTGGAGACGTCATTAGATGTTTGGATCCATGGATGTGGAATTTATAAAAGAAATTGGGATTATAGGGCAGATTAGGGATTGAATTGAAGCTGTATTGATTTGGTTATATTGAAATGATTCAGGGACAGCTTTTAGTATCATCAAAGTAGTGGCGAGAGAACAGAGTGATAAAAAGCAGAAGTGGCTAGAAGAGTAATGTGAAATAGAAGAGTAGTAGTTAGAAGGAACATTAGGAAAGGTGCTAAAGATGGAGAGAATTTCAACTAGAGGTAGAATGGGTCAACAATTTTGAATGCTGTAAAGAGGTGGCAAGTAAGGAGAGGACTCCAGGGACCAGTGAATTGGTCAGGATTCCATAGGTGACTTTAACAAGTACAGTTTTAACTGAGTAGTTCACAGTAGTTCAGTGGTTCAGAAGCCAGTCTTTGGAAGATTGAGAAAGAATGGGTGGTGATAAAGTAGACCTGCTTGAGTGAGGCATTTCAAGGAAACTGAAGAAGGGAGAGAATGATAGCTATAGAGCAGTGGTTCTCATTCTTAGCTGCACATTTACAGTCATCTAGGGAGCTTTTAAGAATGTTGATTTCCAGGGGAAAGCTCATCCTAATTTGGGGTTGAAGTGTAACCCAGGCATTAGTATTTATTTCAACAGCTTTGTTGCAATATAATTGGCATGTAATAAACTACACATACTTAAAGCGTGCAATTTAATGTTTGATATAAGTTTTCATTTATGAAGCTATCACCACAATCAAAATAACGAACAATATCAATCACCTGCAAAAGTTTCCTGTGTCCCTTTGTAATTTCTCATCCTCAGGAAACTGCTGATCTGTTTTTTTGTCACTATAGATTAGTTGCACAGGTATATTAAAGTTCCCTGGGTAATTCCAACATGCTGGCAAGGTTGAAAACCACTGAAGAGGGATATAGGTTGAAGGAATGTTATGTTTGTTTCTTTACATGAATAAAGAAAGTGAGAAGTAAGAGACTTAGGAAAAATGAGGTATTTACTAGAACTGAGTTTCTCAGGAGATGGATGAAATTCAGAGCTTTGACAAATAACAAAGGAAGACAATTTGGAAGCAACAAAGAATATGATGTTAAAGATAGCACATTTCTTTGTTGTCAGCATCTAAGTTATCATGTAGTATCAAGATTGATTTTTTGAAGTACTCAAAAGAAATTAGAGAGCATCTTAGTATTGTGGAAATGGATGCTATTCTGGAAGACTCCTTAAATGGAGGCTGGGACCTCTGGCACCACCATGTAATGCTTTGTCATTTTTTTGGATGGGAAATAACAGTTTGACTATTGCTTGTTGTTGAGACCCAAGTACTGCCAGAGTCTTTTTGGTCCTTTTGGAGTTAGGCTGCGTATCTGCTCTGAGGAAAGAGAATATTTAACATTTGAAAATAATCTTTTTGCACAGAAGAAATCCTATTTGTTTGCCCTTTGGATATATGCCCTTTAAATACATTGTAGGATTAAATCATTCCTCTGTCTCCCAAATGGGACTAAGAAGAATTGTGATTAGAAGTTGTCAAAGGACCCATACTTTCTATCCTGAGAAAGGTAATATTTTCCTCCCTTCCTCCTTTTCTTTTTTCTTTTCTTTTCTTCTTTTTCTTTTCTTTTCTCTTTTCTTTCTTTCTTTCTTTCTTTCTTTCTTTCTTTCTTTCTTTCTTTCTTTCTTTCTTTCTTTCTTTCTTTCTTTCTTTCTTTCTTTCTTTCCTTTTCTTCTTTTTTCTCTTTCTTTTTAATGTCTGTCAATC